GGTACAAAGAATACAAGGTATGATCGATAGCGGCTCCAATTTCGTTCAGTTCGCGCATACCACCTGTGACGTCACTAGGAAAATAATGAATAAATAAAAAATAAAGAAAGTTGACTGGGGATCTGCATTTTTGGGGTTATGGTTAAGAATTGTTTATTTTTAAGACTTTTTAGTTCGTTTAATTTAATAATTACTAAAACCAGCAGTTCCAAAAATATATTTAAAAATAATAATTATCTATTAACATGGATTTGGACGATAGGTAAGAATACTGAATTTATTTCTATATTCGGTATAAAATTGTTTATTAGGTTTTTAGTTTGCGATGTTTATGGTAAATAATTTTCATTTTCATTGCCTCTGAATTCACATGAGGACAGAGTTGAGGATATCTATGGAAAAGTAACCACAAGAGGAATTGTTACATCATTTAAAAAATATTGGGAAGTTTATTGTTTCCCATCGAAAAGTAGAAAATGCCAATGCAGATGAACGTATTGTAATTGTGATAGAAGTAATTCTAAGGGTGAAGTTTATTATAATTAGTGGAAGTAATACCAAGGGTGAAGTTTATTATAATTAGTGACCTCTGCTTCTTTTTATATGTAGAAGTTTCTGGTTTTGAGAATAAATCGGTTGAACGACACCCAAAATTTAAAGGAAGTATTTGCATACCCAGAATATGCCCATCAAGGATTATATAGCTCAAATTTCCTTTAATGGTAGGCAATTATTCAATGCAAATTAACTTTTTAAGTGACTAAAATATTAAATAGTTTACAATATGGTATATCACTAAAAATATATTACTTTTAGGTACAATTAGGGCCCGATACATTTCAAAAAGTAGAATATTATTTTATATTAAATGAGGTATTGTACTAACAATCAATTTATATTAATAACGGAGATTAAAAAATACAGAATAAATAGTTCTTTTTTTATACTACAAAAATAAACTATAGAATACAACAGTATTTAAAAAAATAAATAAAAAGTGATGTTCCGGCCGAGATTCGAACTCCGGTCTCTCGCTTCCTAGCCCGACTCCTTATGCACTGCTCCACAGTAACTTGCTTAGCGATAATTCAATGACGGTATATAAACAAAAAAACAGGTTTATAACAATATCTTGACGATTTGAACTGGCCCGCGGAGCGTGCTGACCAATAGCGCCTGTTATCACCTGTGACGTAGCGACCAACCTGCGCAATATCATACCTTGTATTCTTTGTACCATGGGTATTTCATACATGCGTCCTCATATAAAATAAAGTTTCTTGTATGCAACACACTGTATTTTATTTATAAAATTAAACGAAATTAATAATAAATTTGAATAAACAATATTTGGCGATATTATTCCGGAAAAAGCCGAACCGCTCCGAAATTTTCAAAAGTTTTGGGTCGCGACCGTTGCAAGAATAGCGCCAAATAGTGTTTACATTGTCCTTATGGGCACTTTCCAATCTAAACTTGTTTCATTTATCTATGGGCCTAGACATAAAAGTAAAGCACTTTTACGTCTAAATACAAAAGCACGAAAATATATTATTAAACTGATATAAAGTGTCAAATTCAACGAGCGTAACCATAGTTTCTCGATATATAATTACATACAAGGCATACAAGGTATTATTTTTAAATCTTTTTATATTATTTTGAACGTTAGAAATTATTTAAAAAATTATTTGTGGCGTTTGTAAAAAAATAGCACGTTCTATTCGGAGTAAAAATGACTTTTTGTGGCTAGCCTGTATGTCACAGTACGGCCTCGGCACAAAAAGTGTCATTTTTACTCCTAATAAAATAATATACTATTTTTTTTTCATGTTGGGACCCTTTTTAATGACCCAGATTCATGAAACATCCATTATATTGTTCTGTCGTTAATAAATTAGGTTTTCTGTTTAAATTCTGAATTATAACGTGATATTTTCCTTTAAAAAAATATCTGTAATGCAAACAAACTCTAGGCGTAGTCGTAAGTTTATAATTCAACCTACATAATGCTGTAAATTGCATCATAAAGTGAAGTTCGTTAGAACCCACATTATAATTTGCAACTTTTATTATGTACTCATTAAGCTATAGAATATTATGGAGTAAATATATTTTATCCACCACCAGTCGTCTATAATTTGATTATTATACATGAGTTTATGAAATAATAATAATATTCATTATTCACTAGTGAATAATGGTTTCATTATTCACCGCTTCCACGGATATCTCGATCCAAACTCCAAACAAGAGCTGTCAAACATTACCATTAATATAAATAAATAATTTTTGTTTTAATAAGTTAAAGCTAAATTAGTTAGCTACCTACTTAAAGAAAATTTCAATGTTTTGTCCCTTGTGACTTACTCGTTATACTAAATTTTTTTATAGTCCTGGATAAAGTATAGTATTCTACTCGCATATAATTGCTGTTATTCACTTGGATGATTTATCATATAACTTCATCCTCGTGAATAACAGCCACCATTATATGCTCGTTGAATTTATTATTAATATACAGGGTGTCCCAGAAATAAGTGCAAATATTTTAACTGGTAGTATAGTTCAACCCCAGAAACACGCCTATGAGGTTTTTTTGTGAAAAAAAATGTTGAAAATTAAAAATTTTTCTTGACATTTTTCGGGAAATTTGAAAAAACTTTTTAGTGCCACTTGTTTATTCACCTGAGATTTCCCTACGGTGTATCTAAACCTTGCAGTGTTGCAACCTCCTATGTTATCCACATTCTACGTAGTTCGGCGCAACATAGTTCTACATTTATAAATTCATAGACAAATTTCTACTCAAAAAATTAGGAATGTTAAATTTAATCTTTTATCAGTGCTCATTATTAATAATTATAGAAAAAAAAAACACATTAATTATTTTTAGTACTTACCCTTTCAATGAAAACTTAACAAAAACCACCGAAAATTAACTAAAACATTACGTTTATGACGTTTACGAAAATCTTTGTTATGCTGCAAAATAACTTTATTTTGGAATAAATTTAATAAAATGATTCATATTATTCACAATCAGGTCACAAAAAGAAATTCCTAACATGTTTATCGTAATTTAGAATTCAATTCAAGAAATTTAGAAAACAGCCCAACGAATAATAAGTTCATTTTTGTTTTGTTTGTTTTCTTTCCTGTTTCTCTGTTTTATTTGAACCACTGTTTTATAAAACACCTTGAAAAGCGCACATTACTTTGAATACCTTTCTGAATGAATAAATGTTGAGAATTATTGTCTCTTATCGCCACTTTACGAACTACTTTCAATCTAAGAAAATACATGTTTCACTCAACAATTATTGACAACGTATTTTGTTTGTTCGCTATTTTTTCGATGTATTTCGACAATTCCATCGACAGCCTAACCGTCAACCAAGAATTGCCGCGTGTGAACCGGTCCTTTGAGTCGCCGGTCGCCGCGCCGTCGTGGCGGGCTTGCGTCAGACGACGATGTTAAGCAACGTTGCCGTAGTTACAACAATTTCAAATTCAAGACATTCGAAGCAATCAAATTCGTATTAAATTTTAAAAATAAAACAGAGAAACATGAAAGGAAATAAACAAAAGAAAAATGAATTGATTATTCGTCGGGCTGTTTTCGATGTATTGAATTCTGAATTACGATAAACATTTTAGAAATTTCTTTTTTGTGACCTTATCAATAACCAATTGATTTGTGTTATGTTTGTTTTCTTTCATGTTTTTCTGTTTTATTTTTAAAATTTAATAAGAATTTGATTGCTTCGAGTGTCTTGAATTTGAATTGTTGAAACTACGGCAACCTCGCATGACGCAAGCTCGACACGGCGGCGCGACAAAGGAGCAGTTACCAGTGATGCGCCGCTCTCTTGGCCGACGGCCGACGCGACGGTTGCGCTGTCGATGGAATTGTTGAAATACATAGAAAAAATAGCGAAAAAACAAAATACGTATTTAAAATTGTTGAGTAAAACATGTATTTTCTTAGATTGAAAGTAGTTCGGAAAGTGGCGGTAAGAGACAATAATTCTCAACATTTATTCATTCAGAAAGGTATTCAAAGTAATGTGTGCTTTTCAAGGTGTTTTGTAAATCAGTGGTTCAAATTGTGATGAGGCCTATATGAAAATAATGTGTTAAAAATGGGGACTGTTATTTTAGTAGTTATTATAATAGCATGTAGAAGTAAAGCAGCACAGTAAAGTGTATTTTAGTTAAGTGTATATCGAAAAAAAGAACTGTCACAGTTACATCGATCTGTCATAAGTATCTTTTTTAATGTTGGGTAAGTTTTTTAATTTAACTTTTTTAACACATTTTTTAACACATTATTAAATATTTAACTTTTAATTTATTTTATGTAATAATATCACAATCTTAAAAATGTAATGCATCTCTGCAAACTCCTCAGGTGTATTGTGATTTTATGACTTACTTTTAACATATGCTTTCTTGTCCCTATGGCAACACAATGCGTCGAATTAACTGAAATCCGGGCTTGATCCGGGTAATTGGATGTAGGTGGCGATATCTGCCGGCGGTTCTCAAAATGTTGCGATTATTTTTTTAAATTTTCAAAGTTAAATAACTCGTCTATTTTCAATTTAATTTAAAAATGGTAAAGAGAAAATATGTTTGTTTTGACCAGATCTACCACCTCTTAAAATATCTGCACTCATTTCTGGGACACCCTGTATAGTTAATAATACACGTAGCTAGTTTGTGTCTAAAACACAATTTTAATTAATCTTTCAATTTTTGAAGAAAATTCTGGGCTTTTCAACACTAAAAGAAAATCTACAAAATAGAAAAATTATTTTTGGAAGTTACTCTGTTGCCAAACGGATACAATTTGTCAGTGGTATTTTACTAGTAAAACAAATCTGCTTCTTCGACAAAAAATGCTTAAGATTTAGGAGGTATCAGTCGTCAAAAGCAAAAAGAAATACAAAGAATAAACGAAGACGAAAGAAACGAATATTAAGCGGAAAACTTACTTAATTTCTGCAGGTGACTGTCCCATCAGCCAACAGACATCGTGCATCGTGTTGCATCCAACCGCCAGAAGCTGACCTATGTGACAAGCCCTGGGGAACCTAGGTTTCCTGGGTACTTGTCTAGTGTACTCGCCTACCGCTAACAATTCCGGTGCTTCACTGATCCGTACAAATCCTCTGGGGCGACTGAGGCTCTTGTCTGCGAACCAGGCTAGGGTAGAGTCTTCGTAGAGCACTACCCATTCCTCGCACCAGCCCTTGCAGAAAAAGCCACCTGAAAAAAAATCATTTAGGTAAATAAATACGTATTAAGATCGGCAAAAAAAAGTTTTTTTTTAATTTCACTAAAAATGAGTTATTTGGGTCATAAATGACCTAAATACAACATATTTTCATGGTGTCTGTCTGTTCGTCTGTCCGTCTGTCCGTCTGTCTGTAACACGATAACTCAAAAACCGCTAAACTGATTTTAACCAAATTTGGCACAAAAATACTGTGGGATACGAGAAGCTGGCCATTAGTTTTTGGTGGGGGTGGGGGGTATGGGAGGAGGTTAAACATTTTAAAAAATCGCAACCCTAAAAACTAACTAAAAATCACAGGTAGCTAGTAGCTAACGAAACGCGGTTTTCAATTAACATTAGGAATAATATTTGCAACAAAATTTGTAATAACATCAAAATCAGTCAAAGACACAGTTTTTGAGATAAAAAAAAATTGGAAAAATTCCTTTACTTTGAAACTAAAAGAACTGCCTACCAACTTTTATTGACATTTTAATATGGGCGGCTATACGTGCCTCCCGATGCCAATTTTTTTTCTATATAAACACATAATATAAAAAAATATGAGTGGTATGTATCTAAAGAGAACTCACGCCATACGAACCAATAGTTTGGATAGGGTATCTGCTCAAGTCTATAAATAGTCTTGGAATTGATTCAGTTTTGACTCTATTTAGAGGAGGAAATTTTAAAAGTATGTGATATAATTTTAAAAAATGTCTATACCTATGTGGCGGATTCATCTTTCCAAAAAAATCCTTTATGGATATTTCGCCACTACACTGCAAGAAAATCTACAAAATAAAATAATTATTTTTTGTAAACACTTCTGCGTTAAACCTAAACGGACACTGCTTGCCAGAAGTTATGTTTACAGTAATACAAATTTGCCTAACAAAGAAAAAAAAATGCTTAACGTTTAGGAAAGTTATCTCTTTCCGTCGTCGGAAGCAAAAAAATACAAAGAATAAAGAAAAAAAAACTATTTAAAATATTTAAATTCAACTATTCGAGAACACTCTACTTTTTTTAAAACAGATACGTCTACAAGAAACCGTTGAGCGTCATATTATATACTGCTATTACACTATACTACCCCTACTATACTATATATTATAAACTGCAACCAACAGATACTTCTGCAAAAATACCACAACTTTTATAAAGTTTTCGGAAACTCATCAATGTACCATACCATCTCATAGTAATGTCATACCATCTCAATAGTGCCAGGAACTTCACCCTTTTGATACCCTCGTTTGTAGAACCACTATCCCTCAAAGAAAACACTACCTTATTGATCTTAGTAAGGTTAAGAACTAGTTTGTTTGAGCAAAAAACAATGGACACGCGTTTCGTTCACCATGTTGGCATTATGAGCAGATGAATAAAACTCATTTTTTTTGCTGTTATAACACCAAAGGGTCCATCCAAAACCCAATTGTAATCTTGTAGTATGTTTGAACAAAACCATTCTTGCACTTTGTTGTATGTGTTTTCCTTGCTTTCTACATCATCCAGACTTCCAGCAGCGACATGTTGGACGTGCGATCTATTCCTAGCTCCCAATCATTTTTCCACTATTATTCTATTCTGTCATTTGAACGTCTTTTCAAATATTTGAATAGATAAGTACCGTATGATCGAAAAAAAAACGACGTCCAGTTGGCTTAGAAATGACGATCGATGACATTTTCCATATAATTTTGCATATAAAATGACAGCGATCTTCATTTTATAGCCATTGCTGACGCCGTTTTTATTCCATCTTACGGTACGTATCTTGATCTTTTTATTATAGTTATTCTACGGCCAGATATTGTTCAAAATATAAGGTTATTATTAAGATTGTCAATGGTTATTATTTAATTTAAAAAAAGGAACACAAAATATAAGTAGCGTGACCCATTTGTATAACTAATTCAATCAGTGGTAAATTTATTTTCGTACTAAATAAATCTGTAAAATACTAATTAATAATTTTATTATTAATAAATTATACAGGGTGAATCTTAAATAAGTGCAAACATTTTTAGGGGTAGTATATTACGACATTAGAAATATATACGTCTAGAGTTTTTTTTCGAAATTTTTTTTCAAAATTTGGAATTTTTTGAATTTTTTTTTATTTTTTTTTAATTTTTAGTTAAAAAACATAATATCTTCATAATATGGCAACATAGATAGAATGTAGAATGTTTAGGAGGGGAGTTAATGACCGCGACCTTACAGATTGTGTGTTCCCCTTTCTTGAGTTATAACGAGTTATAACTCATCATACAATCTCAGGGCTTTAACAAAAGCCGGTATCTGAGACGGCTCCACAGAGGACAGCTCTCCATCCTCGACAACAGCCGTACCAAAGTTCATGGCACGAATGGAATGATAAGGTGTTCTGGTGTTTCCCCATTTTCCCCACAGAATCTGCATTTGCCGTTGTTCCTCAGCTTCAACCTACTGAGGTGTTCGTTGAGGAGACAGTGTCCTGTTAGAAATCCCGTGACAATCCGAAGATTGTTTTTACTTATATCAAGGAAAGCCTTTGATTTTTCTCGGTCGTAAGTTCTCAGGAACTTTTTCAAGTGTCTTAGACCGTTCGAGGACACTCATTCCAGGTTACGGATGGAGTCATCTAGATTCTTCAGTTCCGCTTTCAGTTGGTTCCCGCTTGGAAAACAGAACGGTTCTGGTCCAGTTAGTGGAGTATTTGCTCCTTTTCTAACTAGATCATTTGATTTTTCATTGCCTTCTATTCCTTGGTGAGCAGGCACCCAGAGTAGGAGGACTTTATTTTCTTTACCTAATTTGTTGAGCTTCTCTAGGCATTCTTTGACCAACTTCGAATTGATCGCTACTGAGTTGATCGCGTTTAGTGCTGCTTGACTATCGAATAGGATGGCAATTTTTGAAGGAGGTTTTTGATTTCAGAAAAAAGCCAATATCGACTCTGAAATTCAGCACAGGATTAGCAGCGCCTCAAGAGCATTCTGGAAATTAAGGTAGGGTCTTCTACAATCATGACTTGAGTACAAAAACGAAACTTGCAGTAACCGAGCAATAATAATCTCCACCATGTTATATAGAAGCGAAACCTGGGTGCCGTACCGCCAACACATGAACGCATTAAACAAGTTGCAACAGAGACACCTTAGACAACTCTTAAGAATCCGGTGGTTCCATCATGTCTCAAACGTATCGGCTCTTGAAAAAGCTAACTGCGAGAGTATTGAAGTCATGGTTACAAAATCCCGCTTAAGATGGGCTGGTCTTGAATGCAGAATGCAAGAAAACCGCATACCAAAATCCCTGCTTTACGGTGAGCTTGTAGACGATAAGAGGAGGCCGGGTGGACAACTCAAAAGGTACAAGGACATTTTCCACGGAAACTTAAAGAGGATTAACATGCAGAATGAGTGGGAAGAAACAGTTCACAATGGAGAACAGTTCAATGGAGAAGAATTGTAAACTCAGTTGCAATTAAACTCAATGCAAACAGCGACAACCAAAAAGTAAAGAGGCAACAAAGCAATGAGATTTTTGAATGTCTGGAGTGCGGTAGACAGATAACATCACGTATCGGGCTTTTCAGTCACAGAAAAGCTCATGAAAGAAAACCCCTTGCGTGACCATCTTCTGATGCGTGTCGAATACTCGTCAGCGAGTAATGGCAGTAGTAACCGCAGGATGGCAATTTCCGGTTTTCGATAGTTCCTTATCTAAGATAAATTGTACGCATCTTTCGATGACGTCGGCAACATAGGTAGTAGATTAAATTTACAAGAAAAAAAAAACAGAAAAGATCATGTGGTTCTCAAAATTTAAGCGAAAATATATATTTTTAAATTTTCATAGTAAAATATCTCGGTTATTTTGGACTTATTTGAAAAACGGTAAAGAGAAAATATGTTTCTTTTATCTAGATTTACCAGCCCTGAAAATATTTGCACTTATTTAAGACTAACCAAGTATAATAGTAATTTTACCCAATATTAACCATTATCTAAATAACTATCTCATAAAATCGAATCAATCTTATAACGTTCCGGTTATAAAGCACCTAATTTATAATATACAGGGTGTCCCACAAATGAGTGCAGATATTTTAAGGGGTGGTACATCTGGTTTTTGAGTCGCACCTCAGGTATGCCCTTCCATTCTGGGGTACGTGTTGTGCGGCTCAATTTGACCGCATTTTCAAGCTCCAGAAGAGAGCTGTTCGATATTCACTGGGACTAAACAGCAGAACTCATTGCCGGGGCTTTTTTAGAGAATTAAAAATATTGACTCTTCCTTCCTTATTTATATTTGAATCCGTTTGCCTAATACGTAAACATGTACCAGCTTCTCAAGAAAGGCCATCTCACACTTATCCACTCAGGAACGCGGAGCAAGATCTTTATCTACCTACCCCACGCTCAGAGTTAGTTAAAAGTTCAATATTATACAACTCGAAAAAAATGCACAATCACCTGCCATTTGAAATCAAATCCATAACATCATTTTTATCATTGAACTCTTATTTACTAGACAAGGCTTTCTACGCCGTAAATGAATTATATTTGAATTGAAAATCGAATTTGATCTTGAAAACACTGGTCTAATGTTTGCTATTGCTATATTTACGAATGACATCGAAATTAATTTATTTAGAGGTCATTGATATTTTGCTATAAACTGGCTAAATATTTTTGAATATTATTTTAATTTTTTTTGTTCTTTGACATTGTAAACATTTATATATGTTTATTTTAACAATAAGACTGACAATATTATTTGTATAATGTTTTGTATTATCTTTTGTTTGTTTGTTTGTGTACCTTGTTTTTTTTTTACTTATTTTGTTAGTTTACCTTTGTCCACAAATTTAAAAAATTTTTGACAATAAAGGCATTTATTTATTTATTTATTTATTTATTTAACATCATCGTCTGACGCAAGCCCGCCACGACGGCGCGGCTCAAAGGACCAGTTCACACGTGGCACCCTTGGC